GGTGCGGGGGGGTGGCGAGCGGGATAGGGAGTGCTGATATGGCGGTGCGCGCCGTAGCAGCAGATGCAGCAGCGTGGCGCGTCGGGCGCGTCCGGCTCGGGCGGCTCGTCTTCGACGGTGCGCGTGGGCAAGCGCGCAACCTGCGCCACGCTCAAGCCCGTCGACACCTGCCCGACGCGCTCGGCGTACTCGAGCATCTCCTCGTAGCTTCCCGCGTCGCCGGGCGGCGGCGCGCCGACGGGCATCTCGGCGAGCAGCTGCTGCAGCAGCAGCATCTGCGGGCCACTCTCGGAGTGAACTCAGAGCTGGTAAGGGGGATCTGAATGACCTCTTCATTCGCCTGCTGGCCAATCTCGGAGTCGTCCTCCTCCTCGCCCGCGCGCCGCACCAGGCCGCGCGAGTGCTCAGCGAGGACGAGGAGGGTGCCGCGTGGTGCGAGGCCGGCCTCGCGCAGCGTCGTCGCCATCTCCCGCTCCGTGCCAAACTCGCGCCTGGGGTATTACCCGAGAGTACCCGAGAGTACCCGAGATTACCCGAGATGACAGCTCCGTCCCAAACTCGCGCCTGGGGTACGGCACCTGCGGTGGGGTGGGGGAGGGTGGGTTCGGGTGCGGTGGGGTAGGGGAGGGTGGGTTTGGGTAGGGGAGGGTTTGGGTGCGGAGGGTGGGTTCGGGTGCGGTGGGGGTAGGGGAGGGTGGGTTCGGGTACCGTGGGGGTAGGTGGGGAGAGACAGGGAGAGATGGGGAGAGAGATGGGGAGAGACGGGGAGAGAGGGGGGCGGCACCCGAAGCACAAACGGTCCCGCCACCGCCGGCCGCTGCTCCTGCACCATCTGCGCTACCATCGCGACGGGCGCGTCGGCGCCGAAGACGCGGCGGAGGACGGTGCCGTCCTCGCACCGCACGCGCACTTCCGACGTCGTCACATGCGGGTCGGTTGGCGGAGAGACGACGCCCCCGGCCCCGGAGGCCGAAGCGCCGGCGCCGGTCGCGTTGCGCACGCTCGTCGCCGCGTGCAGCGCCGCGGCGGCCGGTGACATCTGGGCGGCGGCGGCGGCGGCGGCGGCGGCGGCGGTCGCAGCGTCGGGCTCGTACGTCCCGAGGCGCGCGGCGGCGGCGCCGACCTTTCGGTCCAGTCGGTCCTCGCTCACACGCCGCCGGATGGCCTCCTTCTCGCGCTCCTGCTGGAGCTTGCTCTGGTGCATCGCCTGCAGCCTCTCGCGCCGCGCCGCCTCGTCGAATGCCGCCTGCGTGCTCCGCGCCTCTGCCGCCGGAGCGGCCGCGTGCCTGCCGCCGGGGAAGATCTGTGGGGAGATATGGGGAGATATGGGGAGATATGGGAGCGGCCGCGTGCCTCGCTGGGCAGGCTCGCGCAGCCCGCTCGGCGACGGAGAGGGGCGCCTGCGGGCAAGGGTTCGGGTACCGTGGGGGTAGGGGAAGGTGGGTTCGGGTACCGTGGGGGTAGGGGAGGGTGGGTTCGGGTACCGTGGGGTAGGGG